AGGTGGACATCTTCATCTGGGCTAAATTCCCAATTTCCCGAAGCAATAAGAAAGTCATCCCCAGCCCCCTTGTTGGAGTCTGGGAGGTCGGCTACAATTTTAAACTCAGTAGACCTCGGCTTAAGGTAATATACAAAACCCCTATCTTTCAGGTTAAGGGGGCACATTGTATAACAGTACTGAAGGTCGGCCAGGATGATCCTAAGATTCTCCTGCCTAGCTAAAGCTATAATACTGTTAATCACCCTATAGGAGTTGATAGTAAGTTGCATGGGGTTCAGCTTGTAGAAATGAAGAACTTCGCGAAACAAGGGATCAAGTGGAAGCCGAAGTCCACATTCGGTGAAAGCTACTATAGGAAAGGGCATCGTATGGTCTGTGGGCATAATGGTATCATTATCCCCAGCTAACTTAAGATGAACATCGGCTGGGATGGAGAATTCCTGCCTAAAGTATTCGAGTTTTGTTGGGGTATTTACCCTATGCCTCCACATACCCATTACGTCGACTTAAACAAAAGAAGAATATGTTTCAGAAGATGAGCGTTTAAAGAAGGGTTGCAAGAACCTCGGCAAAGACCTAGGAAAGGACTGATAAGACTTGTTTCAGTTTTGCCTAAGAACTTGAAGGTTCTACACACAAATCCCAAGCCTAAGAACTGTAAAGATCAATATTGAAGGCACAGATCTGGGACAGATACGAAAAATAGAAAACAAAGACGGAGTTTCAGATTCAAGACCAGAGGTATAGTTCTCAGAAACAAAAGAAATACAGAAGTAGAAAAAAATCAAGAACAGTGGCAAGAAAAGTGTTGAAACAGTGCAAATGTTCAAAATATAAGAGAAAGAAATCGAACAACAAAGCAGTAATGGTAAAAACACAGAAAAAGATTGGGAGTAAAGGGAGCAGGGCCTTACCAGAACAAATGAAGTCGGAAAGAACGACGCCGAGAAATGGTAACGATTGCAGGCACGACGAAACAGAGGAAACTTCGCTAAGGTGAAGGGAAAAAAATCGCAGAACTTCGAGTTAGAACAATGGTGGATTTCAGAAAGTTTAGAGAGCGAGGATGCAAGAAATCAGAATGCAAAAAGTGAAGGGAGAAAGAGGCAAGAAAAAGTTTTGTCAAAAACGTGAAACGACGGCAAAAATAGGGCATTTATTACGCCTAGAGCAACGCACGCGTCAGACGGCGCAGACAAATGACAGACGGCTTTCAGGCGCGTCACAGACACGCTCCAATAAAGACAATACACGTGAAAAGAACGGTTAGATATGCATGACAGCTCATGCGCGTGGAAGAGTACGTTCGAAACCTTGTACTCCGAAGAGAATACGTCGGCTCAAAGAGGATTATCTCGGCTAAACGGTTTTTTTTAGCCGTTACTTAGAAAAGGAATATCGAAATATCGGTATAGGTTCCATCACCTCAGAATGCCGAAATAATAGAACCTAGAGGCAGTTGTGGGGATATATTTTCTGATACCAACACGTGGCCAAGGTGACGCCGACGTGTCAGCCGAGGTGCCACGTGTCCTGGTCGTGACGCCGAGATCATCTCGGCGAGGCCGAGGTTAACTCCGAAGATATCGGAATCCGAGATAAACGAATAATGGACAAGAGTCCTAAGACGAAGAGGGGACTTAACCAAGATAAGGATAAAGCTCTTAGGGAGTTTATCTTTATCTCTTAAAGAGTCCAAAGTAAGCACTAAATTGGAGTTCATAGAAGTCATACTTCTAGTAGGACTTGGATTGAGTATATTATAAAAGAGAGGCACCCCGTGGGTCTAAGGTATGTAATTTATGTCTTAAGTATTAAGTTTTGCACTTGATTATCTTTGAGAGATATACTGACTTGATCGTCGGAGTGCCCCCGGGTGGAAGAACCACCGCCGGAGCCTTTTTCTTTCTGTTACAGGTTACTGAAACCATCTATTCTGCCTGTGCTCTCCAACTGGTTACTAAGCAGGCAGTGTGGTCAGATTTTCACCCACATAGTATTCTATTTATTTATTTATCACTTTGTGTATAGTAACTAGTATCAGTATCAATTTCAATTGTAAATATAATAACGAATACTACTTTTTTTTTGAGAAAACATTTCATACATATATATATCTTATTCAATATCACGTAGTGACTAAATTTTGTTTTTAATCTAAATTTAACAGCTAGGAATAATTTCTTAATAATATCCACAAAATCGTATTTTTTACCGTAGAAAAAAATTTAGATTAATATTACTCCTTCTAAAAGGGGTTTTAGGAGGACCCATCAATAAATTATAACACCTTATTGGCTCTATCATGGAGGTTTTAGTCATTGTCACTCTTGTTTTTTTAGTTTTTCCCCCCCTTCAAATTCATGTTATTTTTAAAACATAGGTGTTTGGCAAGTGGGTTGGGGTTAAAATAGCTACAAAAGACAAAACAGGCTATTTTAGCCACAACAAACAAAACATCACATCCAACCCATAATCATTACACTCTTCTCTCACAAAAAAAAGCCAAAAAGTCAAAAAGCCAAAAAGTCCTTCCCAAACCAAGCTTTTTAGCCCAGGCTAAAATAGCCAAAAAAGCCAAAAAGCCAAAAAGCCAACCCACTTCCCAAACGGAGGCTTTAAATCCAAACTATTTTGCACTTATTTTTTAAATTTATATTATTTTAAGAAATCATTTTTTTCAAAACACAAATACTTTTAAAATTGTATTTTGAAAACACAATATTTTCATAAAATAACATTGATATGCAAAATAAATTTAAAACTGCTTATATTTAGAAGAATTTTTTTTTTCAAGTTTTTAATAAATAAATCATTTATTAGATGTGATAGAAGTGCGATCAACATCAATGTCACTAGGACAAAACTTAAATGGATGAAAATTCAATCAGAAGGAACGACACCTAATCATTCATTTAATCAAATCCTTAACCAACTTTTAATATTATAAGAATAAAAACCCTAAACCCTATCATTTCATTTGTTTAATTATCTGTAGCTTGACAAGATTAAATTAGATTTGTTTTATCATTACAAGTTCGGCACCCAAATCCACGACCTAGTTTTTTACAAAACAAGAATAGAATATGAAAAGTGGTTAGATTGTTTAGGTCTTCTAGGTGTAACCCTTGGACACCTTCTCAGAGGGCTTCCCTACTTTTGCAAATGAGTAGTGATTTAACTTTGATTTTGATTAATCCAAGTGGTTACTTGGATTCTTACAATTAAGCAACCAAAAACAATATTCTTTGTTTAATGTCATTTTTACGTGGGAATGGATAACCTTTCCTAGAGAAGTTATTCTATATCTATATGGACATGATTAGACGATGTTTATAAAGATTGTGACTGGTAAAGAAGGTAGGATCACGATTTTACATTGAATGTAGGTAGATACTAGTGAGCCAAATGGATTGTGATTGATTTGTGACACGAATCACATAGTGTCCCATGGGCAATGAATAACATTTTGTATCATTTTATATCTATATCAAGGATAATTTTGTAAAATAATAATAAAGACTACATCTCTACACTCTTACCGTTCTCTTCTAATTTCAAACCAAATGGAGCCTAAAAGAAGAAAATTTGTACAAAGTCATACCAAATAAAATACTATATTACTTTTTTAACATCAAAAAGCAAGAAAAGAATAAACTAATTAAAGAACAACAAACAAAGAAGTAAAATAAAAAAAATTTGTGTTATTCACATTACCCCTTCATACAAAAACAGTCTCTTTTTTTTTTCTTTTTTTTTTTTGTTGTTGTTGTTGTTGTTGATAAAATTACAATAAAGGCCTCATTGTCTCTGTCACTGTTTAAAGGGTTTTGTAGAATAAAATAAAAAATAAAATGGTTTTGAATAAAAAGAAAAGTGTGAATAGCAACACCAAAAAAAAAAAAATACACTTTGGTTACCAAGGACATTATAAACTGTGCTCAAGAAGAAAAAAACATAAATTATTCCTTGGGTTAATCTGCTTGGAAAAAGAGGGGCATATTTTCTTTTACTTATTTATTCTTTTTACTAATATTTTTCCCAAAAAGTTACAGGTATATGTGTCATACTGGACGCGTTTACACGGCTTTTTCTTTGTTCCGTATGGGTTTAAAAAATTAAACTTTCAAAATCTTCTGATCTAGATCCACCAATCAAATTTTGGGAATTTTGTGATTGTTTACAAGTTTGATCATGAAATCACCCACTTTTTAACTTGGCAACTTCGATTCACCAACCATAGGTTTGTACCGTGGGCCATATGATAATCATGATTTTCATTGATGGAATTTGAAACCAATTTGTGGGTCATGAAATTTGGTTGTTTAGTTGATGCTATACAGATCACTAATTAATAATTAATCAAACGTTAAAACAATCATTGCCATTTGATCCATTGGCTAATAAACCACACCATAATTCAGTGCTCGTCACACATTTAATTATTTGCTTGGTATTATATATATGACATTTTATATTTCTTAGCTTGAAGATGTCTTATCGTTGACAAGGTTTTAATGACAAGGTTTTAATTTTTTTTTTTTTGAAAAATTGTGGTTTAGGCCGTGGTAATTTATTCCAACGAGCAAGTATAAGAATATAGAAAATTTACTATAAATTTAAACAAAAAACAAGTAGAGGATCATTTGAAAAAAAATCAAGAAAAATAGATTAAGAATAAAAACTTAATCGACATTGTAATTGGTCAAATAATCTATATACTTGTTCTCATAAGATTTTTTTTATTAATTAACACAAAGATAATGAAATTCAGATTAATAAGTGAACATGAGATCCGTGTCTTTATCTCTGTCTAGTGGTAAAAAAAATAAAATAAAATAAAATATCCATTTATATTTGTTTTTTTTTTGTTTTGCCAAATTATCAAAACCAAGCGAACCAACTCTATAAGAATTTCAAAGCGCAGAGCACACCTGAATTGACAAAAATACCCAAAAGCCACATAGAAATCAAGAAGCCGGCCAATTTGGACTGTTTGGGTACAATTCATAAATACCGGTCAACCGTTCCCCATTATCTATCATCTACCTAGTCATATTGCCAAACAACAACAAAAATACCCAAACTTAGACACAAGACTCATGCAATGACACACCCTCAACAACAACAACAACAAACCACCCTCCATATCCAAGCTCCTCCAAACCCACAAAAATCCATTCATGAAATCACCGGAAAGATGACCCAACTCTGCCGGAAAATCGTCCACGTCAACGTCCGGTGGATTATTTTCGGAAAGGTCTCGATTCTCCGGCAATTCTTTCGGTTCATTTGGGATAGAATTCTCTCTTGTTCTATGGGTAGGCCTTCTCGGTATCGCCGTTTGTCCCGCCGGAATTCTTCTCCGGCCGTCGAGGCTATGGAGATGGGTTCGGGTCAGGATGACCCAACTACTACGGGTAGTGGGTGTGAATCGGATTCGGATTTGGTTGCTTTGAAGATTAGTATTTTGGGTGATTGTCAAATTGGGAAAACAAGCTTTGTGGTTAGTAAATTTATTGTTTTCATTGAAATTTTTGTTCATTCACACATATATGTGCTTTATTTGGTTGTATATAATTTTTAAAATTTTTTGTGAATTTGTGTCTGAATGTTTAGTATAAGGTCTATTTACAGCTGATAATGAGTTTTTTTTTTTTTATTATTATTGAAAAGCTATGATAAAGATATTTTTAATTTCTGCTTTGTGTTTGTTAGTTTTCAATTTATAAGAAACTGCACCAAACAAGTTTACTTTTGTTTTTGATTGTCAGCTACCAAACAAACCCATGAACTTGTATTTGAGTAGTTATTTTAGACCATTTGATTAATGGGTACTAAATATTATTTTTTTTAATACATTTTTTTGTTGTTGTTTTGAAGATCAAATATGTAGGAGATGAGCAAGAAAAGAGGTGTTTAGAGATGAAAGGATTAAATCTAATGGATAAAACATTGGTTGTTCGAGGCGCAAGGATTGCTTTTAGAATATGGGATGTAGGAGGTAATTAGTTTAATTACTTTTCTTTTATTTATTTATTTATTTTATTATTATTATCTTTAATTTATTGGTGTCTTTACGGATTCTATTTACTTAAAATGTTTGTTTGTTTGTAATTTTAATTTGGATGTAGGAGACAATAGGTCACTTGATCAAGTTCCTATTGCTTGCAAAGATGCAGTAGCAATTTTGTTTATGTTTGATCTTACTAGCCGGTGTACTCTAAATAGGTATGTTAATTATTTCATCATTAAATCAATACTCCTTTTAATAGGGAATATACATACATAGTTTTAAGTTTAAAGAACCACTAATTTGATATAATTTTGTGTTTTCTGCATTATTACAGTGTTATTGGATGGTACAATCAAGCAAGAAAGTGGAATCAGGTACTAAATCTATCTTCTAAATTTGCATCAATTGGAATGTGTGGTTTAGATTATTCTATGCATTTTTCTGTAATATTTTTTCTCCTATAGCAGTTGTGAATGGATAAATATAATGGCAACAAACAACATTACGAAAGTGGGTAGAACTTCATTTGTTGATGGGGTCTTTACTAGTGAAGTGCCAAACATTTAAGATTATTAATGATCTAATTATATATTCCTCAAAAAAAAAAAAAAAAAATACAATAGAAAAAGTAATTGTTTAATACAATTGTGGGGGAGAAAAAGATTTATGTCAATAATTTGATCATTAGTTTGATGTTATTAAGTGTGTTATCGATGATATTGACAACAATCTCTATTTTTGTATTGAAATGAATGAAGTGGCAGAATTTCATTATCTGAGTACTATTCATTCTTAAAAGAGTATGAACATACTTTCATATAAAATTTTTAATTTTTGTTTGTAGACGGCAATTCCTGTACTAATCGGGACCAAATTCGACGATTTTGTTCGACTTCCGCCGGATTTGCAGTGGACAATTGTGACCCAGGTACAAATTCCTTAGCATTTTTTGTGTATAATTTGTTCAGCAAGTATTAATTGACAAAGAAATCTGTCTTTTTAAAATAATGAAGTTGATTAACTAGTTTTGTTCCCAAATATTAAGGAAAGCTTTAATATGCAAATTAAACAGTACCCATATTTTTCATATAAAGTATAATTCATGCGAAATATTTAGTCGTATAAAGTAGAACAATATTCAAATTTTAAAAAAAAATATTATAGGTCTAAATTTTCTATTAAATAAATGACTAAATATCTTACATAGTGTAAGATAAATGTGAAATCCACACTTATATAAAATATTTGATCATTTATTTAGTGAAAATTTTACTATCGGTAATATTACCTAATTTTAAAAAGCATTCAGATTCTTCTTAACACTTTCCTATGAAAAAGAAAAAGTAAAGACGAGAGAGAAATGAAAAAAAAAAAAAAAAAAGTTTATTATATTTAAATAAGTAGCATTTTTGGATGAGAAAGAATGTTTGGGGAGGGTAGACTTTCAAGTCAATTCCAACACAAATTTCCAAACACCTCTCTCTTTCCGCGTAGAGATAAGAGCAAAGGGGCAACGCACATTTTTATCAAAGTTGTAACAATCCTTCTAACTTTTAGAAAATGGAACTTTCTTTTTGGTTGAGGGATTTGAGAAGAGATTTGAAAAGAAAAATAGAAAAGGTAGGTGAAATGTGAAAAAAATATACTTACATTTCACATAGTTTCACACACCTTTTCCCTTTCCCTTTCTAAATCCCTCTCTAAATCCCCAACCACACACAGCGTTAAAGGACTTATTTATATTTGTTCTCTCTTTCTCTCATATATATACTTGCTTTACACGTGTCAAAACTTGATTGGTTAATCTATTTAATTTTGTCTACTATATGAAAAAACAGGCAAGGGCATATGCAAGGGCAATGAAGGCCACACTTTTCTTCTCAAGTTCGACACACAACATCAACGTCAACAAGATATTCAAGTTCATAATGGCCAAGCTCTTTAACTTGCCTTGGACTGTCCAGAGAAATTTGACACTTGGTGAACCCATCATCGACTTCTAATTCTCTCTTTACTCTGTTGTACTCTCTTACTATCTTCTTCATCCATTTGTACATACATACACATACATATCCATCATCAATTAATTATCAATTAACACAACCAAAAAAAAAATTTTGATTCCACACTTTACCATATTTTGATGTTCTGGATTTTTTTTTTTTTTTTTTGGGTTCCCAAATAAGTGTAATGAAATCTTTTAAGTAACAAGTACTCTTGTTTGGTATATGATAAAAAGTGATATTGAAATTTGATATGGCCAAACAATCACACTTTGGACCAAGTATAATAACAAAATATTAAGCATACATAAATTTCATCAAAATAGTTCAAAATGAATACAGTAAAGGTAGGGAAGGCTTATCGAACTCTGTAAATCAAAAAGCAATAAGCATTGTTAATGTAATTAGTGGAGTCGACTCGAGCCATTTTTAATCAATTTGATAAAAAAAAATGGCCTCCTTTCATACATATTGAAAGATTAATTTGAAAGAGAGGCTAGAGAGCAAAGAGTGTTTCTGTATTCTGTGTTGTTTGTTACAAGAGAAATGAACTCTCTCTTTATAGAGAGAAGCAATGTACATTGGATGCCAATCCATTACCACCGAAAGCAGAAAGAAGCCAGCTATACAATTAGCAAGAAAGCTAGACAGCTATACAATTAACAAAGTAACAATAATATTATATTAACACATATTAAGGAGTGAAAGAGAGAGCCACAGATTACTAAGAAGTATATCACAAAGTGCTAAAAAGAATCAAACAAAACTCTCTGATAATAATGATGCAAATATATTATTCCAACAGATCACTGTCTTATTATTATTCTGCAAACATAGCTAATAATATTTTTAAGTTTGGTGCATCATCAAATGCACAATGACAACAACAATTAAACTAACATAATAATAGGTATTTGAATTCATCACTCATCACACTCATCACTCTCATCACTCAATTGATAAATATATTAAGAGCATTTGAGGCTCTGTGAATCTGCAACAGAAACTCAGCATTTGCACGGTATGATGCCTCCATGTTGATGCCATTAGGACCCTTCTCATTCGAGAGATTGATGTACAATGTCTCCAATGCATACCCATACTTGATAAAATACTGGATCGCCAACATTTCATTCAGATGCCCTTTGAAGCCTGTCACATTCACCACCTTTAGAGTCCTTTTAAGGCACTTATACACCATGATATATCCGTTACTCAGGAACTCATGTTCCACAAGAGAAAGTGTAGTTTCCCTCTCCTGAACAAAAACAATACAAAACAAAACAAAAAAAGGTGTATGAAAAATGTAATGGAGTAGAAGATAGAATAGATAGATATACTTACTGGAAAAATGGTGTTTGAAGAGGAGATATGGATGGTGAGGGTCTGCAAGCGAGGGCAACTGAAGAGGAAGAAAGATATTCCATGGTATTCATTAATGTGCAGCGCCGTCTTCATTATCAGATGCCTCATTTTGTAAAGAGGAGGTTTTAACATTGAGTGTTCCTCTGTTGTTGATATTATCTTTTTTGTTCATCATCAATAAACGCACAGGAGAAACAATGGCTACATCAGGGAAGGAAAATTTGAATGTATCCTGAAATTTAATAAAAAAACCCATCAAAGAGAAACAAGTATTTCTCATGTTTGTTTTGGGGTCCTTTTGTCCCAAAATCTAGTTCTCTCCTATTAATGTACATATGAAAATCTTGAAATAGCGACTGAAAGGGCATCAAAACAGAGGACAAAGGATTTTGCAAACATAGTATCATGTACTCTCTTCATGTTTGATCCACTATCAAAAACATTTGGCTATAATAATTAAGAAAATTGATTTGAATGTGAAATTTTTCACACATCATTTAAAATAGACAGATGGATAGATTTTTTGTATCATTTGTATATCATTACTCAATTTAATAATTGAATTTGATAAAAGAAACTATACTTGAAGCATGTAACTGCAGACAATCAGAACCCTAATGCAACCAATATCTCAGAGTAGGTCATAAAGAATATCACCATATTCACCGAACTCGGCCTCGAACCCAAAGTCTAGATCAGCCTCCCCCAAGGCATTCAAGTAATCTATCCTAAAACCATTCATTGGCCCAGAATACTTGAAGAACAACAACTTTTGAGTCTCAATGCCGATCCCATTTTCAAGACTCCAGCACTTGTTAATCACCAAAGTCCTCAGCCTTGCTGTAGAAATATTAAGGTTCTCCAAATTCCAACACCTCTTCAAACTCAAACTCTCTAGTAATTGACAGTTTGATAACAATGCGTTAAAAGAAGTAGTTGACAGTTGAATCCACGCTAGAGAAAGACTCGTCAGAGCACTAAAGTTGATGAACTGGGAAACCCTAAATTTGCATGCAAACAACTTCAAAGATTTGAATGGCTCTTTGTGTTCATAAACACATGGAGGCAATTCAAACAAATCAACATGGTTATTATCAAGATCAAGATCAAAATCTTGTTGATCCCATGTTGGTTTTGAGAAGTCAAGTGCAAGAACTTTTGCATTATGACCAATGGCGAATTGAACAAAATTTTGCATGGCCTCAACATAGTTCTCAGGATGTGAAAATGAGAGGCGAACCTTATCCACACTCACTGGGCGAAAACCTTGAATGAACTACGTTGAGAAATCGATGAAACCCCTTCTCTGATTCCCCATAGTTTCTTCGTTGGATTGATGATTTTGTGGTTTTACAAAGAGGGTTTCGTTGAGTTCTATGTTCTTGGTCTCGTGCCAGAGGAATTGTCATCGCTTGGACAAGGTTGATGTTCTTGCCGCTTCTTTGAAGGGCAAGAAGGAGATGATTATGAGAATGAGTGAGTCTGTCAAATATGAGAACTTGCCTTGATCATTGTTTTTGTTGGCCATGGTGGAGTGTGTGTGTGTTTGTGTGGAGGAGGCTGTGTTGTTGCAAGAAAATTGATGAGAGTGTTTGTATATATAATGAGTGAATCGTTGCAAAACAAAGACCAAGAGTTGCTTATATATATATATATATATATGTTTGGTTTGGAGGGAAGCATGGTTCGGTTATTATAGTTGGGGTTTGAATTAGAATCTTGAGTGGACGGTTTTTAAAGAGGGAATTTCAGTTAATTACATGTTTTGAAAAATTAATATAAATAAATGGAAAATTTTATAAATATTTATTATTTATATTAATAATTATAATTATAATTTTTTTTTCTTGAATTTGTAATAAGTTTTTTAAATTATCACTGTAATTTTCCCACTTTTAAACCAATTATAATTAATAATTGGGAAATTGTTTCCATCATTGTATGTTAATGCAGAAATTATATTTTTGAGGTCTTAAAATTTAACAGTCACTCGAATTTTTTATTTAACAGAAAATTAACAGTTCATACAAAATTGATTTGTACACGTAGTTTACGTTATCCAATCAACTTGATTTTTTGCATGGGTAATATACTCGACGAATTTTAAAACGTAAACGACTTGAATTATTAAAACAGGATCCAAAAATTAGAGGTGTTCGCAATTCAGTTTTGAACGATTTGCGGATTGGTTTGGACCCGCCCACATATATGTGGTTTGAGAAAAATTCAACCCGCAACTACCCGCAGTGCGGGTTGCGGTGTGTGCGGATAGGGTTCCCGTTGTAAATATTTATTTTGAGTCATTTTCCCCCTATTTTCTAAATACTCCAACATTAATAATTGATGAATTAAAACTTATAAAATAAAAAACACAACAAAATCAATTCCTAACACAAATAAATCATTCAAAATCCTAAACTTTTAAATTAAATCATAATCTAACACAAGCACATCTTTCAAAATCCTAAACTGGATCATCAATCTCATTCACTATCTACTACCCAACAATACAATTAAAGTAAAACCATTCAAAATTCTAAATTTACCTAAAAGTAATTCTTCAGTAACTTTTGCATTTATCCAAAATGCAACAATAAAATAACAACGGTCCAAGTTTTTTTCCTGTTGGACCAAGAAAACTCATACTTGTGGGTTTAGAGTGTTCAATCCCTTTAATACCCAATTATCTTATTCCAATTAAATTTCATAAATAATTATTTTCTTGTAGGACCAAGAAATTATTTATAAAACAAAATTGCAATATAAAAATGCCAAATTATTTTTTTAACTTTATGTGATCAAAATACTAAGGACCATATCTTCACGTCTTAAGATGCTGTGGCTACTCTTAAAACAGAATAAATTTTTTAAATAAGGCATAATTTATTAATGAGAGCAAATCCTTATAGTCACAACAAATACATAATCTTTTAATGCACATAATGTATAATACATACAATCAGAGTAATATCATATGAAAAATCTCAAGACCAAATACATATAATTCAATTTTATACTAGATTTTGCTTAAAAATTGGACTAAAATAAATTCCATAAGTCCAACACATAGTGTATACATGCTCTTATTTCACATGAATTTTTCAATGCATAAATAATTACCTTAATGCATGTAATATAATATTACATTATTTTAGATAACATGCCAATGAATCTCATAAATTATAAAAATTATAAAAGAACATGTTATAATTCACTGTATGAAATTTAATTAAATTTTCTCATTACTTTCACATGCCACTACAATAAAATGTCTTTCATAACATATCATTCCTACTATAATATTTAACAATAAATTAAACCGGCGTAAGTTTCAAAGGTTAAGACTAAATATTGATCTACTCATAACCACATATACAAGACTAATTGTCTAATGCATATAAAGTTATCAGAATGCATAGTATTTGATCAACAGTTAAACCATAATCACAAAAGTCCAAAAATAAAGGAAGCAATTATAAATCAATGTGATCTCCACAAGTAAAACCCAATATAAGTTGATCATCTGCTACTTTCCACGTTTATTATACATATAAATTCACTAAATCAATGGAAAGAAAAATAGATTTTTAAAGAATAAAATTTAGATTTTAATAAAGCTGATCCCACTAGAAATCTATTAGTAGAGATGATGAATAAAATCAGAAACAATTTGGTGATTCAATCCTTCCTTCCTCCTTTTTTTTTTTTTTAATTACACAGAAAGATAAGCTTTATACCCATATAGATATTAACCTATTTGAATGCCCCAA